CTATCAGATCAAAACAGTATGTTTAATAATGCAAAATTGACTAAAATTGTATAATAATATAATGATAGTAGTAAGAATGCTACAAAGGCCATGGCTGTTAGAGACATCATTTGGAGATGAGGTAGAAGTAGTTCTTCATCTTCCTTAAAAGTATGTACCCCTATAGCACTACAAATAATTATTAGACAACAATCATAAGTTAAGTGAACTGACCATTTCTTAAACTCATCAATAGGTAAGCTCACTAGCTTTAGTCATTGACCAGAGGACCAAGGAAGAGTTTTTCTGTTCCAGAACTTATTTTCCAGAGGACATAATGCAGTACAGAGCCACAGTAGTGATTGACACTTTGTTTGCCACTAAATCCTGTCAGCAGGCACAAGAAACTGTCCTAATCATCAATAACAGACTTTGTGATGCTCATTTCTGTCCCTCCTTTACTTCTCTTTGAACCTCAAATCCTGTAACAACTCATGAAATTCTACTTATCTTTTAGAGGCCATTTTATTAAAATTATATCATGTGATATTAACTAGTTTGCGGTTGTACCACGTGGTTGGAGCAATCTGATTGGGACGCTGACATTCCAGCGCTATGCAACAAAAAAGCCTTGAGTGTCCCCAGACCCTTCCTCCAAAAGCGAAGGGGCGGGGCACGAGACTAGAACGACCAATGAAAATACGAAATGAAAATCCTACTCGTGACGCAAATTCTATTCTACATTGTACTTTTAATGTTATTATGTAAGAATTACAGATCACCTTGCAATGTAGAGTAGAATTTGCATCACGAGTAGGATTTTCATTTCGTATTTTCGTTGGTCATTCGGAATCCTACTTCATCTTGTTTTTTAAATTTTTTATGTTCTTGTTTGTGTTGATTTTTTAATAATATTTCATATTTTCGTTGGTCATTCGAAATCCTACTTCATCTTGTTTTTTTTAATTTTTATGTTCTTGTTTGTGTTTGATTTTTTAAATAATATTTATAGTATTTCTTTAGTTGCAATTGTGATACTTGTAGATTTTACACAGACAATAATTTTCTTTATTATTATTATCATTGTTATAACATTTATGAGAGACAGCATTGAATAGACATGCTGAAGGACAAGGGCGTAGCTAGCATAAGGCTAGGGTAGGCTATAGCCTACCCTGAAGTTCAGAAGTCAGAATTGAAGTTTAGTATTTTACCTATATTGAGTTTCTGCCTTAGTCACTTATGATCAAAGATTATAGAAGTTTAGGGTAGCTGTCTCAACTGGCAGTTACTCACTCAGTCACTTTTGACACAGGCAAACAGAGACAGGAGAAAGAAAAGAAAAACAGCCATTTTAGCACAATTATTATAATTTATTAAGGTGGAGTCTTTAACTTAATTATTAATTAGCTAGCTTAATAAAAAGTTAACTTTAAGTGAAGCCATCACAATGTCAGCTGCAAAGAAACAAAAGCTTTGTGATTTTTTATGTAAAATTTAGTTGAGTATATTAGTAGTCAACCCCAGCCATATAGACTATTTGTACTGAAGATGAGCATGAGGAGATTAAAGGTGATGACCTTGTAAATGATAATTTTGTTGATTGTGCTGCTACCTTGAGTCTTGCCTGAGTCCTCATCTGAGTCTGAGTGTGAAGCAGTTGCGAGAA